TAAGTATGCTGGTTGAAAATAAAACGCGCGAAGCGCGCTTTGTTTTTTAAATTCAATATCAACATACATGGATTAGCACGCATTACGTGGATGGGTTAGTTTGAGTTAGTTTGCATATTTCTGGTTAGTTTCGTTACAGTTCGTTTAATACTGGCTATAAGTGTACTGGTTAATAACAAAGCGCTTCGCATGCGCTGTTGTTTTTCTAAATTCAATATTAATTTGTTGAGAAGTCAAAAAGCGTTTAGAATTACTTTATATAATTAGTTAAATAAAAACGTACAATCCATCCATTTTTAATTTGCAACTGGAGCTGCCCCGGCGTAACTCTAGTGGGTCACTGGAAAGCACATGTGCCCTGTGGCGCCTACAAAACAAGCTGGAATGCAACATTCCTACAGAGTGTATTTGCAGATACAGCAATGGTTGAGGAACGAATTCCTTCGAGCTGAAAGTTGGGGATGGATGAGAAAAGATGGTGGATACCTCATCCCCATCAAGGCAGATGCTCATTTGGCCAGCGACAGTGACCTCAAATCATTCTTCTGTCATTGTACCACTGGCTGCGGAGTAAGGTGTGGTTACAGGAGAGCTGGGATGAACTGTTCCATGGTGTGCAGTCAAGGCTCATATACAACCAGTGTGCCCATACAACAAGACTCTCTGGATTTCTCTTGCATTTGTTTTGCACTGAAAATTATGTCAGCTGTATCTCGGATGAGTCTAAAGCCACACTGTGTCTCTGAGAGGTTGTCTTCGGCAGCTGGAATTAAACGAGTTGATGATATTCTGGCTAGTATCTTTATCGTAACAGGAAGTAGTTGCGATATTGAGCCTTATCTCCCATAGTAGACTATGCGCTCCTTGTCGCGCCACTTACAAAACATCAGCTTGCATGGCTTTTGAACTTTTGAAATTTATCTATAGAATTCAAATATCGTACAATGGTCGACTAATCGAATTTCGTTATACTTGCCCATTAATACCTGTTGTGTTTTGGTTTGATTTAAAGTGGCGACGAGGAAACTACTAACCCACAACGTCTTCAAGAAGAAGAAATCCACAATCACGTATTGAAAATGTTCAAGCTCCTACAAGCAGTTCAAGTTCTACTACACATACTGTCCATACAGTATTTTCGATTGAATCCTATCAACAAACGATTTGATCGTTGGCTTATGCGTTTAGAAAGTGCATTTAGCATGTTTGAAATACCAGATGGTAAGAAAATGGCATACTTGCTTCATTACATGGATTCAGATGCTTATAATACACTTTGTGATACAATTTCACGTGGAAAACTTGATGACATGACATTTCAAGCCATTGTTGACATTTTACTACATCATTACAATCCAGAAACTTTAGAAATAGCTGAAATTTTTCGATTTTTATAAAGAAAACAACAAGATGGTGAAACGGTACAAGAATTTCTAACAACTCTATGAAAATTAGTTACAACATGCAATTTTGAAAGCTATTTACAGAAAGCTTTGCGAAATCAGTTTGTTTTTGGTTTTCGTTCTCAAAACATTCTGAGTCGATCACAAGAAATTACAGAATTAACTTTGGAAAATGCTTTAGCGATTGCCAAAAGCATTGAAATGTCTACAAGAGATACTGCGGAATTACATCACAACAAAAATTCGTCAGATTTGAACCAGCTGAATCAAAATACGAAGAATAAGAAGAATATTTCTTACTCAAATTCTTCTAGTTTTTCTAGGCAAAACTATAATAATAGAAAACTTTTATGTTTTAGATGCGGTTCAGATTAACATTTAGCAAATCGATGTGATAAGAAGCATGTAGTTTGTGGTTTTTGTAACATTCCAGGGCATCTTACCAATTTTTGTGGGAAAAATAATAATCGGAATCAAAAGCATCAAATTGAGCAAACCACAAGCAATGCTGAGGAAATTTTGACTATTGAACATTCAAAGTTTCGCAGCAAGTTTATGGTTACTCTGAAGATAAATGAAATTTCTTTTGAAACTGAAGCTGATACAGGTGCATCAGCAGTAAGTTTGATGAGTAATACAATGTTTAAAAAATGTTTCCAGAAACAATGTTATAACAGACAGATTTAAACCTAGTAAGTTTCTGCAAATCTAATATAAAGGTCTTAGGGTTTGTTGAAGTAAATGTACAATATAAAAATTTGTCCAAAAAATTCAATTTGTAGGTACTTTGTCGATCACGAAAAGGCATCTTTGCTTGGTCGTGAATGGTTGAGACAATTAAATATAATACTTTCGCGGATGTTTCTCAGGTTTTACCAAATGAAAATAAGTTAAACAGCAAATCTAAGTTAGATGATCTACTAAAACAATATGACTTAATTTTTAAAGATGACATAGGTAAAATTAAAAATATACAATCTAGACTAAATATTAAATTTGGTGAGGTTTCGTCTCCTTGATACATAATTAGATTGATTCTTGGGTATAGGAACTTTGGTCGGGAATTAAAACGTTGCCAGTAGAAAGACTGTTTTAATACCTAACGAAAGTTCCTATACCCAAGAATCAATCTAATTAAATATTAAATCTGATGCTGCACCAATTTTTAGTAAATCCAGAAAAGTACTTACCTTTTGCGTTAATACCAAAAATAGAAAAAGAATTTGAATTTTTAGAGGAACAAGGCGTTCTTGTAAAAGTCAATAGTTCTGAGTATGCTACACCTTATGTTCCAGTTGTTAAATTTAATGGCAGAGTTCGAATTTGTGGTGATTTTCGAAGTACCATAAATCTAAGATTGGTTGTCTATCAGCATCCACTGCCGACCATTGATGAACTCTTTTTATTCTATGGCAGGAGGTTATAAATTTACCAAGTTAGATTTAAGTCAAGCCTATTTGCAAATGGAGGGTGATTCAAATGATCAACAATGTTTAGTTCTAAATACACACAAAGGCTTATATAAATCTACTCGTTTAATGTTTGGTATTGCAAGTGCTCCTTCAATTTTTCAAAGAGAAATTGAAAATATTCTTAAAGATATTCCGAATGTGTCAGTTTTTCTGGATGATATTAAAATTACGGCTTATAATGATGAAACACATTTACAAATTTTGGAAACCGTTTATGTCCGAGCAAGTGTTAACACATTTTGATCCTACACTACCAATACTACTAGCTACAGATGCAAGCTCGTATGCAGTTGGAGCAGTTATTTCTCATATTTTTCCAGATGGTTCAGAACGTCCCATCAAATTTGCTTCTCAAACTTTGAGTACAACTCGACAAAAATATACTCAGTTGGATAAAGAAGCTTATGCAATTTTTTTTGGCATATAATAATTCTATAATCTTCTTTTTGGTAGGCCATTTACATATTGATTTTTTAGGACCATTATTCAATAGAAATTATTTGGTATTGGTGAATGTATTTTCTAGGTGGCCTGAAATCCATCTTGTTGATGATATGACTGCTGAATTTACAATAATTTTATGTAAAAAAATATTTTCATTATTTGGGATACCCAAAACTTTAGTAAGCGTTGATGGTAAAACTTTTACATACTACAAATTTAATTTTTATTTTGAAAGAAAATGGAATTCTCCATAAATTAATTGCTCCTTACCATCCTTCTACAAACTTTTAAAAAATCAATTAAATCCATGGTTGATAATAATCAACAGAATAATCGTGAAACTCAAATTTTTAACATTATTGTAGAACTTATCATTCATTGTATTTTATAATAATAATAATAAAATGATTTTGATCATTTTTGACACAAAAATTACATGCTGTTATGCTTCTTATTGTTGTTGTTGTGTTGATTTAAAGTGGCCTTAGAAGAACCAGTAAGACTTAGACCTGTTGTCATTGTGATTACTTTTATCAATGTATTTAAAATATATAATTATTCTACCACAATTTTAAAAATAATAATACCCATCCCTGGTTTGATTAATGGAAATACTCGAGAATTTAAATTGAAGCCTTCAAAATCGAGTGGCGTATCTGGACCAAGAAAACCATTTTCGTGCTATAGCTTCCCAATGGCGTTATCTTCGCAAACACAGGGATATTTCGAAAACCGTACCATACCGTTTTTTCCAAATTATCACTCGATTTCTTTAATAATTTACACGTCCAAGACACACAAAAAAGTCCCTGAAATGAAGCACCCAACCTCATAAATGAAATAATGTAGGTAAGTAGGTACCTATTAGGTACAAAATTTACAAATGTTAAAACATTAGACTTTTTGATGATGACAAAATGTACATAATGCTCTCTTTATGTAAAGCAAGGAAAAGAAAACCGTGATGATGATGATCATGATTTTTTTATTTAGATTTATGCTTCAACATTTCTCAAAGGGCCCTGGCCGAGCCAAGAGTTCGCTGCATTTTTAATGTAATACGCACAGATTTTATGGACATATGCTGTTTCATGAGGTATCAAACAGTCGAAATTACCAATATTTTATTTGTCAAAATTTAATCAAAAGTATTAAGTTCCAACAATATGATGAGGTATTCACAGGTATTCCATTCTAGGATCCCAAAGGAGAAGAAGCGTTCCTACTAATATTTCCTAAAATCTTTGTATGTTGCTTCTCATGTGTCTACTAATGATTCTGTTGGCTTTTTTTTTAAACTAGCATGAGGAATTACCGCAGATTTCACCAACAAATAATTAAACTTATTTTGTGCCTACATTTATTAGAATTTACTTCTTTAGAATAATTTAATAAAACATTGTTGATGCAAGAAGGGACACTTTTTTTCTACCTTGTATCTAAAAAACTTCCACGATTTCACTTTCTATTTTTAAAATGTTGGGCGTTGGAATCATTTATTGAGGGAAAAGTGTGATCAGTAACCATACGGGATGTTTGCCTTTATAATTTAGACCACTGTGCTAAATTTTAATGCAGTAATCCGATAGAAATTTGAAGAATAAATATTCGTTTGTAAAATATTACGATATCGTTAATGGAAAAGAAAAAGCTATAGGTAAATAAGAGGTTTATTATAGGTCAGAAATTTATTTAAATTTATAAAATCTTCACAACTACATACGTATTGGTTCCCAAGTAATTTAATTATGTGAAGTGAATCTGTTCTAGAGGAATATTTGGACTATAGTCATCTTGGCTACTATCAGAAATATAACCCTGTGGGAGTTCGTCTCCTTTAGCCCACACGTCATTTACATGCACTAGTTTAACCTAAAATTTAATTTTTTTTTCAAAAATTTTATTTCTAATAAATTATATTAAGTATTCTTTTTACCAGAGGTTCTGGTGCATTATGCATTGCCAATTTTGCATATCCAACAATGGACGACATAATCAAGCTAAAGGTACTAAGGAGTAGTGACACACTAGACATCACTGCCATAGCTTTTACTGCTAGCGGAAATAAAATCATTTTCACTAGTACCGCACCAAGTACTAGGGGTAGAAGGTAGTTTTCTTTTTTCTTTTTTTTTCTTGCTTCCCCTATTAGCTCTAAAAATAAATACAGGTTTGGTTTTGCAAATTTCACTACTTTCAATTAGCTGAATATTGTTACTTACCTGAATTCACTATATTTAATTCTCTGGACTCATTATTGTAGCTTTTAAGTGAATTCGATATCAAGCACTCTTCCATTGGATATAAAACTATTGCTAAAAGTAAAACAATTCTTATCATCTTCAGGCACAACATTTCTGTTACACTAAAAGTTACGAATGTTCAAAAGTTCTAAAAGAAATTGTGCATATTGTGCAGATTGTGCCAGATCTGGATTTTGAATATTACTTTATGGAATTCCTGCATAATTTTTTTTTATATCTAGCAAAATTATTACGGCCCTGCTTAACAATTTATGTCTAAAAGAAAAATTACAATAGATTGCCTGCATACTTGCGTAAAATGATTAGGAATAATTTGCTACCTGCAAGGTATGCATGTTGCAGTTGATAGACACAGGTACCAATTTAGTTCCTGACATTGGTACACTTTTTTATTCAGTTCCGGGTTGCAGGATGGTAACTGGAGTTCGCAATAAATAAACAAATTTAAGCTTAATATTGGATAATTAATTCACCATTTTTTGAAAAAAACTGGAAACATAGTAATCTGATAAGTGATAACTGTCAAAAAAAATAATCACCTACGATTATCAGGAACAATTTTATACCAATCTCGATATGCGTTCGATCACATTTTGCCATTTTTCTTGAAAACAATGTGTTTAACGAAAAAAATTCAAGAAACAAAAAGATTTCTAAATTGAATGGGCTTTCTAACCTTAAATATTTTTTGAAAAATTTAAATATGCATCCAAATCTTTGAGGCTCCAAAGACACGAAAAAGTGTCTTAAGGAGGCCCTCCGCCGAAAAGCCTAGCACCTTCCAATTTTTCATGTCATAAAACCCCTGTATATACCAAACATAGTGATTCTAGTACAACAGGGTTCTGAAAAAAAAAAACTATTTTCGGGGGCGTATTTTAGGGGGTTGTAACTCCAAAAGGGGGGTCATTTGCCAAAATACGGGTCCTCTATTTTTTTTTAAGAACAAATTTTGTTAAGTACATTTATTTCCGGAAACCCAGTAGGTATAGGACAATTTTCAAAAATTCAACAAAAAAAAAACAAAAATTTACATATGGTTACAACTTCTTGACACAATGGTGGACGCTCGTATAAAGAAATTATTGGTTTTCAAGTTTATACAATAGAAGAAGACCATAGGAAACGATCTCGCTATTAAAAAATCGAGTGAAAGCATTTATGATAAAATTCTTTGATATCATGAACCAGGATTACTTGGTATGACTTTGATATTTGAAAAATTCATAACTTTAATTAATTCGAAGGCTCTGTTTGCGACCGAGCTTGTGAAGAACTGAGGTGGTCTCAGGAAAACTTTTAATTTTCAAAATACTGAAATAGAGAACTAAGAATCTGTGCAAGCACGGTAAGCACATACTTCTTTATTCAATCAAGGTTCCAGGAACCATTTAAAGGTAAGAAAGCTTCATTTTGGGTAACACAAATTGGCCCAACTCTATTAATTAATTAAATTATCAAATTAAAGCGAGTGATGACGATAGTATAGGACCTATAGATAGAATGATCTTGGAATCAATTGACAGCATGATACCAACTAAAAAAAAGGCGCCATATCAATAAGAAAAAAAAACCCTAGGCCCATTTTCAAAAAAAGCATGATACATGCATGCAGTACTCTGCAATAGCATAATAATGATTATATGATTTGCGATTGAAGGGGGTCAAGAGGTCAGAGGGCGTATGAAAAAAAGGTAAAATAAAGTCATTATATAGAAATCAAAACCATAGAAACAGAAAATCATCTATTGATTATTGATAAATGATTTTGTATTAGGAAAACCACATCCCAAATTATTTAGTGACGAGCAAGAATATTGTAAGAGGCGTGAATACACGCAGAGATATTGCATCTCAAAAAGATTTGATCGCAAACGACAATAAAGAAAGATAACACAATAGAGTCCTTTTGCACCTCTTTTGAAAAATCTTTTTGGGTGACTTTATGGCTCATAAACGCGTTGTGACGTAGCTAATCGATCTATTTTCACAGCAGAATTTTTATTTTTTGCACCCCTGTCAACTAGGGACAGGGGTGTTTATACGCTATTTGACGTTTAGTGAAAATCAGGTTGTCTGCAAAAGTATTTTGTTTTTTACTTTTTTTTATTTTAAAACAATAATGGAAAATGCTTTGGACGTTCTTCGGTGGCCGGCGGCATCTTGGCCTAGATCATAATGCTGTAAGAGCTATAATTTTACCTGGACTGGAGACCGCAAATGTACCTACATGGAGAAACAGAAATCGACCTGAGATTCCCAATCAGTCGACATGGTTTCGCATTCGATAACAAGCTCAACATCCTGAAATTTGGCAATGAAGTGTTTCTAATATCCAAACCCAAGGGTCCAAGGTCCGTCACCGCAAGAGCTTGTTACAAATAAAATTTAGTTATTTGTAGTTTAAGATAAGAGAACCTATAGGGTCGTGGAATTCAAAATAAAGATAACGTGTAGCCCCTTTATGTGCAAATGGAAACACTCAAAATCCAACAAACAATAATTTTATTTTATATTTGTTTACAATGTAGTAATAATGTTACTTTTCTCTAAAATTTGACAGTTAACAGTTTGGTTGTTCGGGTGGATCTGATACAATTTCCTGTATCCAGGACAGAGGATAGATTGCTAGTGTGACGTTACTCCAGCTGATCCAGACTCCAAACAGTGATCTTTTATGTCGAGTAGGTACCCAGAAAAGAATAAGGCAGTATCAGGTTCACCAAAATTTGGAATATTAAATCCTTGAATTCTGTCAAAAAGCGAGTGTCTTGCAAAGAAGATTTAAATTGAAATTAGTTTATTATAAAACCATTGTTGTGCAGACGCTCCTCTCTCAAGGTACGGTTTCTTTGGATAGTACACGACGCACAACTGACAACGTAAACGTCGTCATTGGCTCAGGTATTACGTACACCCGTTTTCTGACGCTGACGATGACGTCAGGGAACGGGTTTACGTCATACCTGAACCAATGACGACGTTTACGTTGTCAGTTGTGCGTCGCATACTATCATAACAAACCGTATCTTAACAGAATCAGGTAAGTATGAGCAACTATTGCATATTGGAAAAATATTTTATTATAAAAAAAAAATAATTTAATAATTGAAAATAATGATAAAATAATAGTAAAATAGGTGAATACTGAATTAAATTAAATTAAATTAAAATGCTCGTTATAATTGAGCAGGAAGCTGCTTTTTATGGCAGTCGCAATAAACAGGCAAAATTTTAAAAAAATGCAGGAAAAATTGAATCAAATAAAAAATTGAAAAGAAATAAATCTCTAGATTTTCCCCAAATAGACAAATTTTCCTTTTTAGTTAAGGTACCTACTATAGGTGCTACAAGAAAAAGTTGACGATGATCCCGGAATTGTCAAAATTCTTGAGATATTTCAATTAAAACTTTTTAAATGAATTTCTGACCTATCCTGATTTCTATTTTGAAATTTCACCCTTCCAGGACTCTTCTTACTCGAGAAGATAATTGAAGGAGTCAAATAGAAAATGGCTATACAGGCCTCTGCCTGGATTCAGAGAAGAGTTGATAGGGATGGACACACAAATTTGGTTTGCACCGACTCTATTTAGAGCAGTGGTTCCGAAACTTTTTTCTTTTGCGCCCCCTTTCTGAAATCAAGAAGTGGTCGCGCCCCCCTTCCTTTCCCCATTATACAAAAACATTTTTTTTTACAACTGTCAAAAAATGATGATGTTTGCATACTGATGACAATTTGCGAAGTGACACTTGCCTCTTGACTCCGTGGGCGAAATAATTCTCCAGTGTGCGAAATGCCTAGGTCGCACACTCAGGTAACAAATAGGTACCTGACACCTGACAGGAAACCAAAAATAATTAAAATTCACCTGCCTCTGATTGTAAATGCAATTTAAGCTTGGAATGATCGATATTTTAATGGAGTTGTAGAAAAAATATTGTTTGCAACTCGTGCGCGAAATACTTTGGTGATCTCGACTATTTTTTTAACTGGGCTGCGCCTCGTTAAAAAAATCAGTTCTCGATCACTAAAGTAGCATTTCGCGCACTAGATACAAATATAACTATTTACTTACTGTAACTCGTCTGAACTGGACTTTGGAAGAGGAGGAATGGGCATGACAGTGGGTAGCGAGCGTGCGCTGTAGCAATGATCGCATGGCAAAGCTGCTTTGGCTTAGGTATGCGCTGTTACCAGATTGTAGACAATTTTTTAAAAATTTTAACTGATGATATAATTCGGGCTCGTGATCAGTACAAGGATTGTGTGCTTGTTTTATTAGACTTCTCCAAGGCCTTCGATACTATTAACCACAAGTTGATGTGTGCAAAGTTGAAATATTATGGATTTGGTTGCTATGCAGTCAACTCAATGAGGTCTTATCTCGATTCTAGAAGGCAAAAAATATGTTTCTCAAACAATAGTTCATCAGAAGTAAGTATAACTTCAGGTGTTCCTCAAGGTGCCATATTTGGACTACTCTTATTTCTGATATACACATCAGATATTTTAAACTCCATAACTTCCTGTAAAACTCAGGCATATGCTGATGTCACCCAGCTTTACTATTCTTTCAATACTGAAGACTTTAAACAAGCATCTGTAGTTATGAATGAGGAGTTGCGAAAGGTTTACGATTTATCAATTGAATATAACTTAAAACTTAATCCTTCCAAATCTTGTGCCTTACTTTTCTGCAATAAAAATAGTAGAGAGTTTTTGCTGAACAACTTTGATATAATTATTAATGGCGAGAGAATTAAGTTTGTTGATTCTGCGAGAAATTTGGGAATTATCATGGACTCTAATCTTAGATTTCATGACTATACTAAAAAACTTATACAAAAATCATTTTTTACACTAAAACTTTTATATTCCAATCGTCATATTTTAACTGATAACTTGCGAAGAGTGTTATGTGAATCATTGGTTCTATCTAATTTCAACTATTGTGATTTTATTTACGGGCCATGTCTTGATGCTGTCGACAGGGGCAGAATTCAGAGGATTCAAAACTTCTGTTTACGATTCATGAACAATCTCCGTAAATATGATCATATTTCTCAGACTTTTAATGCGATGGGTTGGCTGAAAATGGAGGGTCGATCTAAACACCATCTTGGAAGTTTTGTTTTTCAAAATCTAAACGGTGATAACTCCTCTTCGTCTATAAAAAGTAGACTGATGAGAAGAAGTAAAATTCATCGTGTAAATTTGCGTAACATTTACAAATTGACTATTCCGCATCATAGATCAGCTCTTTTCCAGAGAGGGTTCACATAGGAATGCTGTTAAAATGTATAACTCTCTCCCTTGTGAGTTATATAGTTTGTGCTTTAATATGTTTAAATATGAACTAAAAAAGCTAATTTTCCGTATGCAATCATTATAAACTAAAGCACTTAATTTTTTTTTCTAAGATTATTTTTTTTGTGGGATAAGTCCTGGTATGGATATTTTTCCATTTCTTTCTTATTTTTTCTGATTTTTACAGATCAAACTTACTTTTGGTTATGGTTCTGAACTCGTCGAATTTCTGTATTGTGAATTCGCGCATTGGTGGCTGAATTTTTTGTTAGGCATGAGTTAGATTTTCTATTTTTTGTAATTATTATTTTGTGAATGTTTGCTGTTGATGGGGGTTAAGTAGAGTAGCTCATCAGCTAGGCTTCGCCCTTTTCAGCACACACAAATTTATTCATATATTTATATGAATTGTAGTTACCAAAAAAAAAATAAAGACGATTTATTATTATTATTATTATTATTATTATTTTTCATTTTGAAGCTTAAAATTTGTATTAATTTTTCAGAAGACTTACCCCCCTTGATGTTGCTTCACGCCCCCCCAGGGGGGCGCGCCCCCAGTCTGGGAACCACTGATTTAGAGCAAATGGTCCAATAATCCCACACTAACAATTGATTCCGAAAACCAGAGCAGCAGTACCTATTTATTATCCCAAAACTCTAAATTGATTCACCTCAGAAAAAACGTGGAACCACCAATCATAAAATGGACGCACACAATTATATAAAAAATTAAAAAATAATATTTTTATTTCAAAAGTAGATAAGATAAGATTTATCAGGTAAAAACTCAAAAGTGATATGATAGTATACACTGATGGTAAAATAAATTGAAAAATATTAAGGGAAAATCTAGGAATCTGAAGAAAAAAATTACAAAAATCAAATCGACTTGCCTGTTTAGCCACTGCCAGAAGAAGAGACCGTTTCAGAAGCAAAACCCTGCAGGAAACCAACCTCATGTTCTTTTTTATACTTAACTGCGTAGTAACCATCGACCAATCAGAAGACAACACTCAACACACAACACACACAAAAGACAGTGCTCACTTAATCAATAAAACACCACGTTGATTAAAAGAGAATAGATTAAAACCCACTAGAACCATTTCAATTATTTAGAAATTAGTTAGAGAAAGACAGAAATATATCTATTTGCTAAAAGTGAGATAAATATAATTTCTTTAAATTAAAATACGAATGACTGTCAATGAGAAATAATAAAAATCATATTTTAAAAAATAAATCTATTAGGTACCTACTAGATGGCGGTATGGAACATGTTACGTAAATGATAAATTTATCGTAACAAGCTATACAGACTCTGAAAATAAACCGTAACACCGAACAAACTATATGTGAACAGTTATAAAATGATTCTGGGAGCTGCGTTGGACTTGTAAAACCACACCAAGCTTACAATAAATACCTCGTCAGAGAAACTTTGGTAAACTCACAAGGAAACCAGTCCGAATAGCCAACCTCTGCCACAACACTATTCAAATCAACAAGAGCGATGACATAGCCACCTATGTGCCTGCCAAAGGCATTTCAAAGTGTGAAGCTGAAGAACATCAAAGAAATAAAGGAAATAAATTTTCCAGCTACATTCTAAGATAATTTGAAACATCTTGGCAACATCTTTCCTCTACAGAACTAAAGAAGGCTTAACAGGTGAGAACAAGGATATCTTTGAGAGTAAAAATGGGGAAACTGGTAAGACGAAGATCATCAAGCATGAAATCAATACTGGTAGTGCTCATCCGATCTGTCAACGACCATGAGCAAACAACAAAAAGTGGAGTCATTAGTAGACAGTATGGTTGTAGGAAGAGTTGTTCAAGAGTCTTCAAGTCCATGGTCATTTTCAATTGTACTACTAACAAAGAAAGATGAATCTACAAAATTTAGCGTCGATTACAGAAAGCTTAACGATGTCACAAGGAAAGACAGCATTACCAAAGTTCACCCAGAATTGACGATATCCTTACAATATTGGCAGACTCAAATTGGTTTCCTACTTTGGATTTAAAAAGCGGATACTGGCAGGTGGGCAAAAGACAGCGTTCTCTAATAAAAGTGGTCCTCGAAGCTCTTTACCAATTCTAAGTAATACCTTTTGGACTCTGTAACGCCCCCGCTATTTTTGAGGGGTTGATGGAAATTGTACTACGAGGACTTACGTGGAAAGTATGCCTTGTCTACCTGGATGACGTGTTAGCGACGAGAAAAACTTTCGATAAGCACCTACCAATTCTTCAAGAAATATTTACCCGTATCCAAGCAACTCATGAATGGCCTCGGCCTCGGCACATGAACTTTGAAGTTTCCTTGGGCTTTGTACATACTAAAGACCATTTGTGGAAGGATTTGCTAAGGTAGCAGCGCTGTTGCATAAACTTACCGAAGAACAAGCTATTTTTGATTGGACCTCCGACTGTGACGAAGCTCTTGTTCAAGAAAATAACACAAAAATCATGCAGAAACTAATGCTATCACAACAACTCCAAAAATTATCTGACGTATACCTACGCTTTCAATTCGCCACCTGACTCTTGAAACCCTGACGTCTAATTTATTACTGACCTTTTCCCTCGGTGGCCGACTCCGTTTTATAGCGCGTTGCTGCTCCTAGAATTTTCTAGATAATTTGCTTCCGTTTGTATTGAATTGCTGGATTATTGCGCGGTAAAATTCCATTCGAGAATTTTCTAGTCATCATTCATCCCCAACTTGAGGGATTTATTATAACACCACTCTACACTTTTTGGTCTACCGCTCCATTCTCTTCTTTGAATCGATCCTGTTTCCCTCAACTGTATTACAAAATCGAAAGCGGAAATTTTTCGCGTAAATTATTAAAATGTTGTATCATATGAAGCATATTAACTAAATGGTAAATCACAATTTATTACCGAAGTTTTATGCTTTAAATTTTGTATTTACGCTAAATATTTACTTTCCAAATCGTTCTTTGACATAAATTCAAATTACTTATGAGTGTCTAGCTAAAAATATTCGTACAGACTTGAACATTACGCCGAACAACAAACAGAACAGCGAACCCAACGGCAATCGGAACCCTAATTTGGACGGGACTAGGAACACACTTCCAAACCGGTTTGCAAATCGTGGCCGTTCGGCGAACGGTTTGCGGCGCTCCCGTTACTTGTCGGTTTTTTCTCCGACATCAAAGGAAATGCATTCGCAGGCTTGGACGCGTCAGAATAAAAATAATTACTGAAAACAATTGTGGGCACAGCACGAACGCTCCGTTCGTGGTTCGGATCGTCAAAATCGAAAAAGGCTCTTCGCCGTTCTGTTTGCTGTTCGACACAAACGGAACGTTCGTGCTGTTCCCACAATTCACCATATTAGTTAGGTTAGGAAAAATCGGGCGCGAAATTTAAAATGGGTTCCTAAACACATTTCAACAAATTTGACAGCAATGTATTTCTTATGGGGGATTCAAAAGAGTGATTTTCAGACGGGAATATCTTGGGTTCTGGGCATTTCTTAGTATTTGAACCTATTATACGTCAAACTTTGAACATGTTTCTCTATAATTCATGCTCTAATTGTTTTCTTAGACCTATGAATTAAAAATACAAATGATTTTAATTATAAGTGTCTGTTTTCGGTGGACGTACGTCGGGTCTAAAGCCAGCTGTAAGAAAGTGAGGTTGTGTGTTGTGTTATGATTGTTGGTGGATTGTTTATTTATTTATTTATCACTAGTTCAGTCATTTGTTTTTCCATTTTTTTGGATTATTGAAGTACATCTACTAACCAAGTATGTAGGTACACTTTTATTTCATTAGAATTATAGGTACCCATATATACTTGTGGATCAAGCAACGACATACGTATTTTATACAAACATCGGCTTCTTAAATTGGTGATATTTTTATTTTAACAATGTTTATTCAACTTTCAAACACTCTCTCAGTTAATTAACATATTAAAAAAACTATTTATACAACTCACTTCCCTAACAAACGTTCTATTGAGTTCCCATAAAACATCAATGTATTAATTTTTAAACTAGGATCCCGCGCCAGTTTGCGATTCTAACCTAACTAATATGATGAATTGATGGGAACATCGCAAACCATTCGCCGAACGGCCAGGATTTGCGGACTGGTTTGCAAGGGCGTTCGTAGCCCCATCCAAATTAGTGCTTCGTTCGTTGTTCGGTTCGTTGCTGTTTCTGTTATTTGGCGTTGTTCAGGTCTGTATACGAAGCTGACTGCGCTCCCATTATGAAAAATTGAAATTCGATATTTCAAAAATTACAATATTTCGTTTAATTTTCAACTGTTTTCTGCTGTCGTGGTCTTGAAATATTGACAAATTGATAAAGTTAAAGAATTTAATTGAAAAAAATTTACAGGGTCTCACAGAAAAGAACCTTTTCAAAAAAAAAGTTACGGATCAAACACAAAATTCCGGTTTTCTTTGGACCACCCTATTTAATATTCCAATTTTTAAAAATCACATTATTTTTTACATGTAGTACCTAGTTTTCCTATCTCAACTTTAAAAAAAAAAAGCCAGGTGTACGAGAGGATAGTAGGGACTACGCGTTCGGTATTAGGTAAAGCAAATGAAACTTGCCTCGAGTTAAACAGAAACTGGGCAGAAGTGAAAGAGTGGATGGAAGGCATTTCGATACATGAGAATTTCGGAACCATACGATTTTTTTAAAAATTTTAATATGTTGTAGGTATGGATGAGTACCTACTTCACAAAAAAGTAAGTTAGAATATGCTGACTCTCCCCGTTTGGCTACAGTGGCATATCAAAGTCACGGCCATCAAAATACAATTTTGCATTTTGATGCTAAAAATGAGGCTTTATTTGATGGATAGGAACAGCGGCGGGTATACAAAATAATTTGTAGCAAGTTAGTCCAGTGGCGTACATTCGAATATTAAAAAAATGTGAAAAATCTTCTTTGTGCGCTGGTAATTGGGAAAAGTAATTGGGTTATTACTTATCAGGCTAAAAATAAGTTAAGTATATCTAATAAATAATGACAGATGCGGATATTTGAACTTACAATGCAACAATTTTTCTCCAGTATCGAGTCGAGTGCTGTGGATAACAGTAATAAAAAATTGTGAAAAATATGCTTTGTGCGGTGGTAATTGAGAAAAGTAAGCAGATATTTATAAATATCCGCCAGTTTATAAAGTTAACTTACAATGTGGTAATTACAACGTGGTAAAAAATTGTGAAAAATCTTCTTTGTGTAGTGGTTTTTGGAAAATAGTACCTATATTGTTTAAAGCGAGTGACGAAAACAGCATTTTTTGCAACGAGAAAACAGTTTACCAAACGAGGCGAAGCCGAGTTTGGTAATGTTTTCAAGTTGCAAAAAATGATTTCTGACGAGTAAAACACTATACTTTTTCTATGAGCATATTTTGATTTTTGCTGTTAAACTAATGTTTTTTTTTACAAGGATTTCTACTTGGTTTGATAGATGGCGCTTGAAAACGAAATGAATCAAGACGCCATCTATCAAAAGTTCTCGCTTTTATTTAATTTTATACTTATATTTTGCTTTTATTACATTATATAACGCAAAATTTCCATAATTTTGTTATGAACTATGTTTTTCCATTGTGCTCCACAGAATTGAATTATAATTGGATTTGGAAGATTGTATTTAACATGGGAAATCTTAATCATTCGCTTTCGTCACTAGTGACGAAAATTACGTTTTCGGCTAAGGTAAAATATG